GGTCCCAAGCATTCGCAACCTGACGTAGTCGGAGTTCGTTAATTTCAATGAGGAGCCCTTGGGCGTTGGTGTGCATACATGAAAGTTTCTCAGATTTAATCAATGTTTCAGAAGTTGTACAACTCATACGTGAAGTTTCGCCAACCAGTGAGTGGCCGGCGACTGGAGGGGTGGATGAAGCAAATGAGGTTACGCCGACCATTAAAGGGTCGGCGACTAATCGTTTTTTGGTTGGATTGCATACTCTCGAGAAGTATTTAATATATAAGCAGGTATCAGATGCTCCGAATCCTGGTGTTTGCTCGTGCTCTGCTGGGCCCCCCCGGAATGTATGGCTACTCTTGAAACCGTCCCCGAGTCGGGTTCTGCAGCTGGTGTTTTCACTACGAGTTGTGCCTCTACTGGATTGTCATTAAAAGGTGTTGGTTTTCTTGCTGCTTTCAGCTGAATTTCCGTTGGCAATCTGCAACGGAATTTAATCCAGTTCGCTAGTAGGGTTTGTGCCATTTGTTCTGACTGTAACACAAGTTGTAAGAGCCTGGGACCGCATTCCTTATAGTTTGGTGATTTGGGGATCCTTGTCAACGAGGTGACCACCACATTTTCGAGAGAAAGAACCTCCCGGATGTAGTGCCATTGCTCGCGGTCGTGCATCTGGGCATCGTCGGAAGAGGAGTCAATAAGCTCTGGAACACCGTGAGCAATCACTGTTTTCTTATCTTGACTTATTCTGTACCTCTCTTTGTTAGCGGGATCCCCTGAACGTTCTTTCCACGGGATTTCGGGTAGTATGCGCACTCCACTTGAGTCGTTGCGGAGACGATTCGCGGACAGCAGAACGGCCTCAGTCTCGTCCTCCGAGTTTAGTGTTACCAGAAGTAACCGGGGTTCGCCGTAGTGCAACGCGTTTGGGTGGCGCGAGATTCTTTTTAATGTCGTGGGATTAGCATGGACTCCGATCGACGTACAGATGGAAACCCACTCATTTTGATCGTCCGTCAACTTACCCTTAATTGCATTGGATTTGGTTTCGGGGACATTATTGCATACAATGTTTACGACACCATGGTTGCGCCTGGTGGCTACTGGTTTTGGATTTGGAGACTTAGTATCTGGTGTTTTCGTTGAATTTGTGAGCGGCCTTGGTGTGTGCCATCCGTGCTGCGGCAGTTTTGTTTTCTCTATTTCGGGCACAAAGGTTACCGGTGCTCTTTCCGGTGTTTGCTTGGCAGCAACCGATGCGTACGTTGCCGGGTTGTTTACCATTGCTGATTGACTGTAGCTTACGGTCTCGAGTGTAGCGAACAGAAAACTAGGTGCAGCACACAGTACAGAAGTCGAGGCAGGCGCACTGCCGTCACTGTTTTTACTTATAGGAGGGAGAGAGAATGGAGTTGATACTGCTGGAGGCTGAGTCGTTGGGGTTGGGTTGGGACGCCTGGCTCGCTTCTTCAGCCTGACTAGGGAGTTCGGGGTGTTATTTTCACTCACAAGTGCAGGTCGGTTTCCTCCCAAGGGTGTCACTCTGGCGCTCACCAGTTGCTCGACTGCTTCGGTTAGTCTTTCACACCTCTTCAGTAGCACAAATAGACAGCTAACAAATGGAATAGACTTGCATACTTGGCTGAACCAAGGCGCTTCTGCGGTGTTTGCTTTCGTCGATCCCTTCCCAAGGCAGGTAGTGTGGTATGTTTTCAAACACATAGTACACACCAGACCACTTTTTATTACTTTGGCACATGATTCGCATTTGCTTTTCATACGAGACTTTCTCAGTAGAGGTAAAAAGAGGATGGAGATACTGAAGCACTGTTGCGTGTCGATCGGCGCTGGTTTGAGGTCAGCAGGTCCAGACGTGTCGAGGCCAGATGAGTCACGCGTTCTTTAGGGTGGATAGGCGATGTGCGTCCTATCGATCCAGACGGTAGAGGGTAGGCAGCGATGCGATGCAAAGCAACTGAGGCAAAGCAAGGTGACTTGGAACATACTGTCTAATGACGACAGTGGTAGTTCCAAGGACGGATCAAATTAACGAATATCGCTTTGTAGAGCGACTTGAAGGAATGGTAGTAAGCTGATCGAGTGACGCTCAAAAAGATCTTTAAAATAAGACCACAAGAGTTTTTATGCGACGAGAGGAGAAAAAAAACATCCGATAAGCTTCGAATACAGTTGACTTCGAAGTTGCAAGAGCACAGTTTGTTGGTGATCCGTGAATGATAGATCCAGTAGATGAACAGTGGTATGAGGAGCTCGCGGAGCCAAATCGAATGATGGCACGTAGGTCTCTGTGAGACTAAATTCAAAGATTTGGAGGCGAATAACGCAGGAGGACAGTTATTTGCGACCGCACGTTGCAGCTGAGGGTAGTTGATGGCGCCACACCTGTTGGCGCGCGAAGGCGAAAAATATCCCACTACGGATATTCACAACAAGTCACTGTGGGTGAGACCATATCTAATGAATGTGAACCAGTAAGACAGATAATCCATCTAGGTATTCTACAAGTTTTCATAAGTTGAGTACGGACGTCACAGCTAGGACATCGGACGTCTCATTGATGTTGCGCGCTCTAATGTAATGGGTTAATAATTAGGCTGCAGATATCCAATCTCTACACCTCGACAGTAGACCTTGCTTGCTACATGCTCAGCGAATCCGTGTCAAGGCCTGTCGCTCGTGGAGTGCTTCCTGTGGTTTAGGTGCCCGTTCCGCCGATATGTGACATCTGCCACAAATAATCCTATGACAACATGACAGGGATGTTAACCCTTATTACTGCCTGCACGACGCGATCGCAAGTACGAGACTCTGAGTTCTCGGTCCACTCGGGATGGCAATTATTACCATGCAAAACAGCGATGTTTAAGGGTAGTTGATGGCGCCACCCCTGTTGGTGCGTGAAGGCGAAACGTATCCCACTACGGATATTCACAACAAGCCTCTGTGGGTGAGACCACATCTAATGAATTTGAACCAGTAAGACAGATAATTCATCTAGGTATTCTACAAGTTTTCATAAGGCTTTCGACCGTCTGAATCACCGTATACTCCTTCACAAGCTGCAGTGTTGTGGAATTGGTGACTCAATCCTCGGTTGGACATCTGAATGTAAGAGTTCGTGGCGTCATCTCTGACCCAATCGATGTTAAGTGCGGAGTTCCCCAGGGCTCAGTACTTGGTCCGCGAATATTCCTGATTTATATAAACGATCTCGCGACAGTACTCACCTCCAACTCCTTACTTTTCACTGATGATCTCAAGGTATGGCGAGCCGTTAGAACAACCAGCGACAACACAGCACTTCAGGATGATCTTTAGAGAGTCTACGAATGGTCGACTCTAAATCTGCTTCAGTTCAACACTACAAAGTGCAAGGTGTTGAGCATACGCCATAAAGCCACTTGCGACTACAAACTGGGGGATCAAGTATTGCAGCGCACTTCAACGGAATGCGATCTAGGCGTGATAGTGCAGGAAGATCTGGGTTGTTCCCGTCAGGCCGAGAAAGCCTCCAGAAAAGCTAACCAACAGCTTGGCCTTTTGCGAAGGGCATTCGGGCGCTTCGATCCTTCCATCTTTTCTCCGATGTTCAAAGCCTACATTCGTCCTCATTCTAAATACGCCATCCACATCTGGCAGCCATGGCAAAAGCAAGACCTTATCGCTCTTGAACTGCCACAACGAAGGGCTACCAAGAACGTAAAGGGCCTGTTTCATCTTCCTTACCGATTGAGGCTGAAAACCCTCGGGGTCTACAGTGGACAATATCGACGCCTGCGTGGCGACTTGATAATGACTTATATGATCCTGAGGAATCCAAACCATTCTTGTCGTCACCTACTAAAGCTGAATAGCAATACCACACTCAGAGGACATCATCTAAAGTTGGACACACAATACAGCCGGTTGGATTGTCGCCGGAATTTCTTTTCCGTTTGTGTGTGCCAACACTGGAACGCTCTTCCCACACACGTTGTTTCTTCCCCACGCTAACGGTATTCAAAAGACGTCTGGATGATGCGTTTATCCAGTTACATTACACTATATAATCAGAGATGTCTACGTCAACCAAACGCGAACAAACGGTGCTCATTCTCAGCTTTGTGCTTCACTACTTACACACTGCTGTTGTGGCATATACTTTCGGATATAGTACAACTGCATTCATCAATTACCTCAGTCCAAGATAGCGGCGCCCGAGTAAGCGTCGTCGTTTCTTTTGTTCTTAAGACATACCTTCCCCATATTACTTCCCATATTACTCAACAGTTACAATTCAGTACACATACTAAAATGTTTATATGAATAAGGGGCACCTGAATCACTAGACTCTTAAATTGACGATTTACACTTATGTTTACTTTCACTTCAACCATCCTACGGGACTTACAAAGCAATTGCTTTTTTAACCGAGATTCATCGCAGCCAGTTTCCAAATCAGATAGTCGCCCACATGCCCGGAAAAGCACTAGACTGCAGTTTCAGCCTATTGGGCGTCGTCAGCAGTGCGAGTATATCGGATCCATCAGGATTCGAACCCATGATCACCAGCGGCTTGAACCGCCAGTCAGCAGCTTATGCCACTGGGCCACGACGGACAGCTTCGGACCGTCATGATTTACAAGCTAACTGCGATATATATCTCATTTGGAAACTGGCTGCGATGCATCTCGCATAATTACATCAAAATCCCCTACTCATGAGTACATCAAAATCGCTTTTTTACCAGTAATATATCATTGTTCATTGTCCATAACATACTACAAGCGATGTGATGTGTGAACATAACAACCCAGTCCTTAACCTAATTTCGACTTGTAGCTAAACATTGGAAAAATGCATATGTGAAAGCGAAGCGAATATTAACAAATATGCACACGAGCCGAACACGTGCTCTTGTTCAAGTGACGGAATGCTTACTGCGAATTGATTGGTCATGTCCTCTGTCCGACTGTCAGGGTAAATCGTATAAAAACAACCGTCGGCACGTCATCTCTAGCTAACCTAGGCTGCTTGGCTGTGTTGATACCTCAGTTCACATGAACACAACGCATATGAATGTGCAAACAATGGTAGCTGCTAAGCAGCACGATCTACTCGCCGCAGCAGCGGAGGCACAGTTAAACGCATTTTGCCCAGTGAGCCAACTTCAAGTGGGAGCTGCAGTCCTAACCAATAATGGAGAAATATTTTCCGGTTCAAACGTGGAAATCGCCTCCTTACCCTGTGGTTGGTGTGCCGAAATAAGTGCGGTTGCAGCGGCCGTGTCACATGGATTTCGAAAATTCATCGCTTGCGCTGTCTCGACCAGTTCAAAAGAGACGGTTAGCCCTTGTGGTCGTTGTCGCCAGGTTTTGGCTGAGTTCGCCGGACCAGAAGCCATCATCTTTATGAGGAGTAGCGAAAGTGTGGTGCATACAATGGAGCTTGGTGCTTTATTGCCACTTACATTCAAAATGAACACTCTGCCTCAACTATCACACATGCCATGAGATTGAACTTGGCAGCACATCGACTGGAAAGCAATTGTTTATTTATGATAACTGTCTTACCTTCATCGCTTCTGAGCTGCTTTACAATAATAAAGAATCAGGGACTCAGCATCTAGACTCGGTTTGTGCTAGAGGCATTTTGTCTCTCACACGCTGCATTTTTAATGCCTTCCCAGCTTTCCACTGTCTATAATGCCCATGGTAGTAGCAGCCCTCGTCGCTGCACAAATCTTTCCCACCCACAAACGTTCACTCAATCTAAAATGAAGAATGTGGTGATGCAGTCAGCCGGAATATGTGCGACGAATGTCTATGCATTTCAAACTTTTTGATTCAAATTGTGTACAATCGACCTTTGTTCATGCTATCCTCAATCTTAGGTCGCAAGTGCCACTATGGCGTAAGACTTCCACTCTCTACTTGTACTATTCCCTGCAACGTCAGACCCTACTGCAGAATCTACGGCCTGCTGTCAACAAGGTGGCTGATAAGGTTGTCCATTGTTAAGAAGACTGTGCAGCGTTGCCACTGCCTTAGTCGTCCTTAAAACATCTATCAAAATATGACCGATGAAACTTAGAGGAACTTGGCTCCTCGCCACCACTTTGTCTCCGCGAGATTTCCAAGTGTTTGCACTTGGGCAACGATCATTATATATGCGACCCATACAATTAGTAATAACTGTGACAGCAGTGTATACTGTCGGATTGCATGGGCAATCTGTTTCCGACAAAATCAAGTTGTTACAACAAATTTCATCTAGACCTCCACAGTATAGTCTAAACCTAGGCAGGGACTATTCTGCGGCTCAAAATTACAACACGTTATCTCAATTCGGGTCACATAATTTGTAGGACTTAGACAAGGCATTCTACATGCGTCTCCATTGTTCGTGCGGTTTGTTCAGCTTTCCCTACAGCAATGTATAAGACAGATTCACAGGTTCAGAGGGATATGGACAATGGACAATGGTTTATTACGGGTAAAAAAGCATCGCTTAACAAGTCCCGTGGGATGGAAATTATTGCGAAAATAAATTGCATAATAAAGTGAAAAGCGTTGTGGTGGACTCACCATAGACTTATGTGAAATAGCGGAGATGTTCGCGTATTAAACACAAAAATCCATAAATCCATTGGTTAGGCGTTTGGCAAGACACCGTTTGATTGCGTTTTGTAGCCCCTGGCTAACAAGTCATAAAAGGAAATGTAAGTAAGCTAATGCATCGTCAACACGTTTTTTAAATATCGCCAGATTGGGAGCAGAGACGACATAATTAGGGAGGGCATTCCAAGGCTCACACACGCAGGGAGAAAAGAAATTTCTACGGCATTCAAGCCGGCTATAATGAATTATCAGTTTAAGAGGGTGACCTCTTAGTTTAGTGTTGTGGTTCAATTCGAGCAGCGGACGGCAAATATGGTTTGGGTTCTTCAGAATCTGGTAAACCATTATGAGATCCCCCCGCAAAAGCCGATATCGACTGTTGTACATTCTTAGAGATTTCAGTCTAAGCGGATAAGGCAGATGAAAGAGGTCCGTGACGTTCTTGGTTGCCTGTCGTTGAGGAGTCTCGAGAGCAACGAGATCCTGTTTCTGCCACGGCTGCCACGCTTGAATAGCATATCCCACGTGAGGTGGCACGTAGGCGTTAAGCAATTGGGGAAATATTGATGGTTCAAACCGACCGAAGGCTCTGCGAAGAAGGCCGAAGTGTTGATTTCCGATTCTCCTCGCCTTCTCTGCTGGTTTGGAACACCCGAGATCTTCCTGTAACAATACACCCAGGTCCCGCTCATGAGAAACCTTCGCCAAAGTGTGGTCTCCAATCTTGTAAGCGCTCACCGACTGGTGACGCAGATGCATCACTTTGCACTTAGCCATGTTCAATTGAAGATTGTTCCTCTTTGACCATTCGTAAATGCAACCTAGGTCATGTTGGAGCAGATCCTGACCTGCCTTGTTACTAATCGCCCGCCATATCTTGACGTCATCGGGGAAAAGCAGGAAGTTTGAGGAGATGACTCTTGCCAGGTCGTTGATGAACACCAGGAATAGACGCGGTCCCAGCACTGAGCCTTGTGGGACACCACATTCCACCTCAATTGGGTTAGAAAGTGATCCCCTAACACGTACTTGGAGCTTTCGTTGGTAAAGGAAGTTGCCAATCCAACCAGGTACAGGATCTCCGATTCCGTAACTCTGAAGTCGTTGAAGTAGGATGCGGTGAGCGAGACGGTCGAAAGCTTTGGAAAAGTCCAGATAGATGACGTCGACTCCGACCCCATCATCGGCCACTTGCGTCCAACTACCTCGAGCAATAAGTAGGTTGATGGTGCATGACCGGTGTTGACGGAAGCCATGCTGTTCCACTACCAAGATGTTGCATTTTTCCAGATAGTCCATTAAAGCCTCAGCGACGACTGCTTCCATCACCTTCGCGAGCACAAGGAGGAGAGTCACTGGACGATAGTTTGGAGGATCGGAACGGCTACCGCCTTTAAAAATAGGGGTTATAATGCCACACTTCCACATAGTGGGGACTTGTTGCTCATCAAAGCACCTTTGAAAGAACTGTGACAGTGGTTCAGCTAGCTTATTAGCCACAGCCTTCAGTGCCTTCGGGCGGATGTTGTCTGCTCCTGGAGAACTATGCTCACGCAGTGAGAGTAACTTCCTTAGCACAATTGATGGGTTGAAAATAACATTTGTAAACAAAGGTGTCGGTAATGTGCTTGATATTATGGGACAGGTAGATGTTGCGAGTTCAAAAATTGGGGCGTATTGCAGCCGCAGGACATTAGCTGCTTCTTCGGCGCTTTGTACTCTACCGCCTGTCGTGAATAGTGGGGGTATTCCATGCTTCACTTTACGAAGCTTATTGACATGCTTATATAGCAGTTTGTTGCTTTTCATGAACGTTTTGGCTAGGCACCGTTGATAAGTTACTTTGTCCTCACGGACAAGCGCAGTGCAATGGTTGCGATGGGTCAGGAAATTTCCCCAAGTCTCTGAGTCGAGGTTAATCATGTAGGCACGCCATGCTGCATCCCTTATCGCCAGGCATTTGCGAGTCCTACTCCTTATAATTGAAGGCATTTTCGCGGGACGAAGGGGTTTGGTCTCTGATGTTTTGTTGACGATGTCGCTGAGCTTATTAACGAACTCTGCCCAAACGTTGTCAAGGGGACTTTTGTTTGAGAATTCCCAAGCAGCTTCGTCGGTGAGTTCTTTCAATACGTGGTAGCGTGTGATAGTATGAGTTAGTTCCGAGTGTTCATATGGATACTCTGCATAACACACATAGTCAAATGTTATTACTACATGGTCACTGAGACCTAATGGACTATCCATCAATAACTTCTCAATCATGAGCTCCTCATTTGTGAGCACAAGGTCCAATATGGACGGTTTGTTTGCTGTCCTGAATCTAGTGGGCGTGGTGACATGATTGTACAAAGGGATATTAGCGATCAGTTCCTGCAAGTCTGCTTTGAACTGCTCATTGGGCTATGCCGAAACCTCCAGATTGTGTAGATTGAAGTCCCTGGATATGAGAGTGTGTCTGTACCTAGTGCGTGTTACTCTGTTTAGGCCACGGACCAAGCAGGAATCCATATAAATCATAAATCATAAATGTTATATTCCTCGGTGTTTCGAGGTGCAGTCCAACTATGTGGTCTGATCAATGTGTACAACAGGATCGCAAAAAAATAATCAATTTGTTCACGCTTTTTACAATGGATCCAAAACAGTTACTAAACCAATTGGCAGAATTAAGACATTAAAGAAATTAGAAAAGCATGAACAATAACGTAAGCAGATTTAAACAGATGTCCAGTTAAATTAATAAGGCCACTCGTGGAACCATCCCCAGGGGACCTGCTTCCATGCATGGTATTCCCTCGAAAGGTTTCGCTCGCACTTCCATGCAATAACTGGCCGTGTGCCTGTGTGGCATAGTAGCATATGAGCCATCACCTGTATATCATATGTTTTGTTCTTTTTAGAGCTGCATTTGAACATGTATTATGGGCCATGAAGCCTCAGTCCAGTCCAGAGTGGACGTTGGAGGGCGGTAAACGATAGTCATGAGACATTTGTCGTTGTGTGTCAGTCGGAGACGGCACCAGAGTGAGTCGGTAACGTGTGTTTCCAGGTCCTCAACTATTGTACATTGTAGATCGCTGCGATAGTAGAGTAGGACCCCACCTCCTCTGCTGGGGCGGTCTCTCCGGATGAGTGACATTCCGGCCATCTCAAACTCAGCATCAGTCACCTCTTGATGCAACCAAGTTTCGGTAATAGAAATTAGGTCCCAAGCATTCGCAACCTGACGTAGTCGGAGTTCGTTAATTTCAATGAGGAGCCCTTGGGCGTTGGTGTGCATACATGAAAGTTTCTCAGATTTAATCAATGTTTCAGAGGTTGTACAACTCATACGTGAAGTTTCGCCAACCAGTGAGTGGCCGGCGACTGGAGGGGTGGATGAAGCAAATGAGGTTACGCCGACCATTAAAGGGTCGGCGACTAATCGTTTTTTGGTTGGATTGCATACTCTCGAGAAGTATTTAATATATAAGCAGGTATCAGATGCTCCGAATCCTGGTGTTTGCTCGTGCTCTGCTGGGCCCCCCCGGAATGTATGGCTACTCTTGAAACCGTCCCCGAGTCGGGTTCTGCAGCTGGTGTTTTCACTACGAGTTGTGCCTCTACTGGATTGTCATTAAAAGGTGTTGGTTTTCTTGCTGCTTTCAGCTGAATTTCCGTTGGCAATCTGCAACGGAATTTAATCCAGTTCGCTAGTAGGGTTTGTGCCATTTGTTCTGACTGTAACACAAGTTGTAAGAGCCTGGGGCCGCATTCCTTATAGTTTGGTGATTTGGGGATCCTTGTCAACGAGGTGACCACCACATTTTCGAGAGAAAGAACCTCCCGGATGTAGTGCCATTGCTCGCGGTCGTGCATCTGGGCATCGTCGGAAGAGGAGTCAATAAGCTCTGGAACACCGTGAGCAATCACTGTTTTCTTATCTTGACTTATTCTGTACCTCTCTTTGTTAGCGGGATCCCCTGAACGTTCTTTCCACGGGATTTCGGGTAGTATGCGCACTCCACTTGAGTCGTTGCGGAGACGATTCGCGGACAGCAGAACGGCCTCAGTCTCGTCCTCCGAGTTTAGTGTTACCAGAAGTAACCGGGGTTCGCCGTAGTGCAACGCGTTTGGGTGGCGCGAGATTCTTTTTAATGTCGTGGGATTAGCATGGACTCCGATCGACGTACAGATGGAAACCCACTCATTTTGATCGTCCGTCAACTTACCCTTAATTGCATTGGATTTGGTTTCGGGGACATTATTGCATACAATGTTTACGACACCATGGTTGCGCCTGGTGGCTACTGGTTTTGGATTTGGAGACTTAGTATCTGGTGTTTTCGTTGAATTTGTGAGCGGCCTTGGTGTGTGCCATCCGTGCTGCGGCAGTTTTGTTTTCTCTATTTCGGGCACAAAGGTTACCGGTGCTCTTTCCGGTGTTTGCTTGGCAGCAACCGATGCGTACGTTGCCGGGTTGTTTACC